TTATCTAGGTTTTGCTGACTTCTTTGTTAGGTTGACCAAGTGTATATTATGAGTTAGGTAGCTGTAGAAGACTTCTTTTATTGTTCTTTTTTTTTTCTTGCGTGGTTCATATCCAGTTATTTAGATATTATTACAATTTGTCATATGGTCATTTTCTCTGACAATCTAGGGGTTGTGGGACTGAAACCTATCATAAAATATATTTTTCCCTTTCAGCTGTGGGAGTGTTATGATCTTACTATTTGTTGGTAAAGAGTAGCCCAACAGTTGGTGGTAATAGGGATGGTGTTGACTGTCTTCCTTCCCTGTAGTCTATCACTACAAAATTATGGATGGCTAGTGCAGATAGCCCTCAAGTAGCATTTTACAAAAATAAAAAAACAAACAGTATATCCTATTCCAGTCCTCCTAAAATTTGTAAATCACAGATAAGCACATTTTCCAGAGAAATTTTGTGTTTCGCACACAAGTCAATGGTTAGTCTGCAATTTTTTAATTTATTTTCAAGTGTAATTCGCAAAAAAAGTGAAAAAGGGCATCATTATACATTGAATTGAAAGTTTTAGTGATTAACATAAAATATTTATTATCAAAGTTTTAAAATTAAGGTAAATTCCAAGATAACTCATTTCTGCACACAGAAATGCTGTCTTCCTTGCATGTTAGCCTATGGGATTTGCATCCTACTAACCTTGAGCTCCCATCTAAATTCACATGTTTGATGTGAACTGCACTGGTTTATGATGATGTCATCATATAACAAAAGTCCTCCACCAATAGGAGAGATTCATTCTCAGTAACTTCTCCGATGCATTTGCACTCGTGATAATGTCATTCTTCCATTTGACACTGCATTGAACAAACATGTTCAATATTTCTTATCTGAGTTCCATTTGATAAAATTTGCATTTTTTAATGTAACTTTGGGTTTCATTTTCTTTTGTTTTAAAACTTTAATTTTTTATCATGAATTTCAAATGATGGTGACTTATGCTTGGTCCTGTGCAAGTGCCAATATCATAAGCACAGGCCTTATTTCTACTATGTCTTCTGGAGGCTTGTCAACTGTTGGAGTCATTACAGCCAATGTTTTATGTGTTGTGGATTATCACTTGCTTACTGGGCCTCTTACAATCATCCTGTTTGCCCACTTTCTTTTCTGTTGGGAATGGCCTATTGGACTATGAACTTAACCTGATTTTCTTTGGGTAGTGTCATACCATTTGAAAAATGATTTTAACCTTCTCATCTTTTTCTGGTTTTAATTCATAGTTATGCTCCCTTCTTTACCTTTCACCTGTGCCCTTTAGTATTTCTCGTTCTTCAGTCCATGTACTCTATTATTGAGGGTTTGCCTTGTCTTTCCTACTTGCTTGTTATTAGGGTTTATGCTGTTTCATTTTTCTAACAGCTCCACTCTCACTCTCAAATGCCTCGTCATCCTCATATTTATGACTTTTTGTTCTGACTTGTAGACATTCTTCATTTCCTTTCTAGATCCTCTGTGTTTGTTATCTATTTGGCCTGATTGGGGATCAATCCCCTTGCATTCTATTTCCATCTCTGGTTCCCCATTTTTGTGTCTTTGTCTTTTGCTCACCACCCTCCTCTATTCCCTTTCCTCCGTCCACCTTTTGTCTGAGGCACTTCACCGTGCTCCAGAGGAGTTTTCTGTAAAAGTTAATTTTCTTCTCTTTGCCTGCTTAGCCTGTTCCACTTCCTCTGCCCTGTCTCCTTTTACTTTTTTCCTCTATTGTTGGGACAAGTTGTGTTCCTCTTTACTGTACACTTTACTCCTTATGTGCTAAGTTCTATTTTATTAAGTATGTGTAAGTAAACAGATTCTAGAAAGAGATACATATTGTGCCTTATAGTAAAACTTAGATGCCATAGACTTGGTGTATATACTTTTTGTTCTGAAGGTTTTGCACTAAATATATATTTTAGTTGAAAAGAGGTCATAAATGCAAGCTTATTTGGCTATCTAGTGATTGGATTAAAGTATGTGAAAAGTGTATTTAATTGCAGAGGAAAGGTTGTAATCTAATGGACAGAACTGAAAAGCATGTGACTGAAGCTGATAAGAATATAAAAATAGAATTTGTTCCCCTGAGAAGAGAAAAGAAAGAAAAACATTACTCAATTCCAAATACTTCTAGTATTTTGTGTCAAGCTGCAGAACATCACATGGTAGGTGTTATATGTTCTTGTACAGCTCTAACCAAAAACTATGAATTATCTAATTTTGGTTCATAAAGTTAAATGTAACCTGCTGATTAATGTTACATTCAAAGGCGCCATTGAGAAATTTAAAGAATAACGTGACCCTTCAGCACCTCACTGAGGATTAAGGAAGTTTTAAAAAAACCATGGAATGGTCTGCAGATATTAAGTGATGCTATTGTAGCTTCTGATAGACTTTTGCAGTATCTTTTTTTAATTTCTTTGATTAAATGGTGTCAAATAAAAATATATATTATGTTATTATTATTATTATTTTTAATTATGTTTCATTCCTAAAATTCTGTGATGATAGAAAACTTTTGGCCATAGCTGTAGGCTTACTGTATGTAAACCACATAGTCAGTGCATGTTTAGGAGTATCCTTTTCAAATTCTGTTTTAAAAAATTATCATATTTTTTTTATACTCTCATACTTGCATGTTCTTAAAACTTGTGAATTTTGATAGTAAGCTAGTTTCAAGAATTTTAGGAACACTTGGCTACTAAGCTAGGAATGTGTACCACAGCTATTATTGTTGAATAGGTTGAAGACTATACTGATAATAGAGCAGCCACAAAGCGGCATCTAGAGAATGTGTTGAGCAAAATAAGGGAAGCAAGAAACTCCAGTGAGATTGTGAATGAGGAGCTTGAAAACTGGAATAATGATGACAGTGTTTGTCCTATTTCTGTTTCTCCTTCGTGTATGGATCAGATGGGTTGCTTTTTAGAACTGATAAATCATCCAAGTGAGAAAATATTTAGGTTGAATCCATCCCAGAAGGTGAGTGGCAAAGCACTGTTCTTTACATCTGTTTTTTGACATGAAAATGTTCTTTGAATGACAGTATCTTATGCATGTTATTTTTTTATATTCTCTTACAAATTGCAAAGAGAGAGAATTGTGTTTGGTAGATTTGCAGTAATTCTTTTATGGTATTTTAACAAAGGAGAGAAACAAATTAAAGATGAGCAAGTTTTTTTACAGCCAATTTTTATTATGCAGTTTATCTATATTCAGAAAGTTGGGGCACACACATTACATTCCAGGTTGTTTTGCAAGTCCAGGAATTAATAAATAGTGTTTTTTATTAGCTTAGCAGGTAACAGGTGTTTTTTAATAAGTAGAAATATGCTGATTGTACATTCTTATTCAAAAGTATCAACATGGAAATTTTGCTGCATTATGCTTATTGGGTATTGGGCTGAATTTCTTGTATTACGGTACTACAACTTAGTATCTTTAAGGTTTATTGATTTACTCTGCATTGATAGGAGTTCCATCAATTTGCATATGTTTTTAGTCCAGTTTGGTTTTTATTGCATTGTCTTTATTTATTGAAGGAATTGGAGAGAGAAAATGCAATCAAAAAGCAACAAGAACGTGAAAGAAAAATGAACATGAATGATCATATGGAGATTCAAGCTCTTGAAGCATATAATCGCAGGACGAATTTAATGAATCAGAGGTTGGAAGAACAGAACAAACAAAACTATAGAGGAAAAAACTTATTAGGTCATCAGAGTCAGAATATAAAAGGCCAGCAGAACAAGTTTTTAACACGGGTATTATTATTTTTGTTGTTTCTGAGTTATGTAGACATACTGTGTGATTCCTGCTTGTTTATTTAATATAAAATATTTCAGAATTTCCATACAAACAGAGCCATGTAGTTTCAACAAAGAATGTCTGTTAGGGAAGTCACTAAATTCCTTTTCAGTCGAGTTACTTACTGAACTGGGTCACTCAAGTAGGGTGTCACAAGGACTCTCTTGTGGTAAAGATTTCTGTAAAGTGGAGCATGCTACATAGAAGCAGACAGTGATCTTTTCTACTTGCTGGTCAGATGGGAAACAACAAAATACAGCTTCTGTTATTTGATGAAGAAAGAGATCAGCATGTGGGTAGAGTCTGCACTGTAAAAAATTGCATTATTGTTTCATGTATATAATGGTGTTTTTTTTCTGTCTGGGACATATTAAATAACTTTTTTTCTGAGAGCTGTCTTCAGTTAAAGTGCTACAACATAAACTTCCTCAACTATGATTGTTTTTTGATTAACCTTCTAGCCACAGGCATTTTTTTTCTGTGTATGTCACGAGGTTTTAGTGAGTTACATTTAAAATTTAATTAAACCACTTTGTTATCATGGTATATGAATAAGTTTGGCATAAAAATGAACCTAATAATCTAAATTTGAATGTTAGATAACTCACAATTTTTCTGGCTTTCTAACTATGTGATAAGAGCCATTAAAAATGCATCTAAATTAGTCAGTGTGTTTCATCTGGTAATAAAGGTTGAACTGAAAGTGAAATTGACAATTATCTATACAGAAAACAATGTAATATAATACATTGTTTGATAGATTAAAACTTTGGCTTTCTATTGGTTATAGTTAATATAGCATTAAATGTCAGAGAGAACTATTGTCAGTTTCTGAATGAGAGGATGTGACAGGTGGGCATGACAAGAGGGGTCTGATTTTCTATTTGATGGTTCTGTAACCAAATAAGATTGAAGGCTATGAAAATTATGCTTTGCCTGAGTGATGACAACATTATAATGAGTAATTTGTGTTAAATTTTGTACTTTTTGGAGGGGTGGTAAATAAAGGGTGGATGTCACAATTTTACTACAAGGGTAAATTCAGAATGTTTTTTTTAATTTTGCCTTATAATACTAAGAACTTGTATGCTATTAAAATTTGGATTATTAGTTAAATTTTTATGCCAAACTTATTACTATATCATGATAAGAAAGTAGTTTAATTAAATTTTGAATGTAACTCATTAAAATTTCGTGAGATACATAGAAAAAGATAGTAAAATCCACAAATGAAGAACATTTTATAATACACAATTAAAATCTTAATTGAAACCAATCGATAGTTGTAAAAGTCACTCTACATATTTCTATGTGATTATATGTTATTTTCAAGAGTGTGAAAAAACAAATTTATCATTTTAATATTGAAAGATGGCCGTGGTGAGAGGGTTAATAAAAAAAACAACAAAGCTGAGCGAGTGTATATTGTAGCACTTTAACTGAAGAAAGCTCTTAGAAAAAAAAAACACCATTATATACATGAAACAATAATGCTATTTTGTACAGTGCAGACTCTACCCACATGCTGGTCTCTTGCATCATCAGATAACAGAAGTTGTATGCTCATGGCTCCCATCTTAAGAGTATTTAAACATTCATCTAAGCTTGTCTACATGAATACTGTAAGAAAAAAGTTTTGATTTGGTGTCAAAATAGACAAATCTCTGTGCAGAAAACAATGTAATATAATAAATTATTTGCTTGATTGAAACTTTGGCTTTCTATTGGTTATAAATAATTTAGTAAAAACATTAGAGAGAACTATTTAAAAAGTGGGTGTGATTTTCTAGTTTGTGGCTCCATAAACAAAAATTATGCTTTGCCTAAGTAATATTTTTATCATAACAAGAAATTTATGATAACTAATGTACTACTTGGAGGTGGTAAATAAATTAGAGAAGAGAGAAGACCTAGAGAGAAAATTCTACTAATTTACTAGACGAGGTTGAGGATTTTTAAAAAATATTTCTTTATCAAATTGAGTATTTAACACTTATATAAGATTAAAATTTTATTTACTAACTATGTTTTGATGGCAATTTTATTCGTATAGCATGATAATATAATAGTTTAATTAATTTTTGAATGTACTTGAAAAGCTGTGACATTTGCACTTTGACCTGCTCTTATCGAGAGGGTTAATGCATTTTCTGCAACTACTACCCAATTATTGTTAAAGGAAAATCAGTACACCTGAGAATATAATGTTATCATACTGTAATTTCAATTGGCTTTAAATTAATTGTGATAAGATAATTAAAGGAAAGGTAAGATGGCAATAAGTAGATTAATCATTAAAGCACATATAAAATGTTGAGCAGTGGCAGTTTTTTTTATATTTTGAAGTTTAGTTTTAACTTTATGGTAGCTAGGTTAATTTGATTTGATTTAGTAGACCTACAGCAGAATCAAACTTTTCTTGCTGTGACAGCAAGCCAATCATGTTCAAATAATGACTAGCTAAACTATCACCATGGGCAGTGAAATTCATTTCTACATCGGACCAAAACTTATTAACACTTAGGTATCTGTATAAATAAACACCTGTATGTGTAAAGTGTAAGTGTAAAGGCACCCAAGCAGTGAAAATGTGTTTTTCTCCAAATTCCCTGATTTTCCCCACTCTAAATTTTTTTTTTGCCATTGGATGCTATAATCCCAGCCACCCTGATTATGGCCTTCCATCCAACAGGGTTCGTTTAAGTTTAGAATTCCAGAATTTCATGTGTGTCTCTGGTGAGTTATTACACCTCTTCAAACATGGATCCCTTTTATTTTATCTAATCAATCTCTCTTATAATTTTTTCTCCACCCAAATAATATTTGCCACATATCCCTATGACCATGGGCAGGAATGAAGAGAAATAACTATTTATAAAGATCCCTAGTTATTTTAAGTTTAAATTTAAAATTCAAACCTAAAACCCTACCACTGATAATGATATAAAGTGTAAAGGTTTAACGTGTTTTGTGATAGAATAAATTATTATTATTATTATCTTTAGTAAAGTTACAGTAGCTGTATTTTTCACTGTTCTGGTATTAATAGAACCTAAGAAAACAGTTCTGCAGCTAACTTTAATGGGTGTTAAAATCACCATGTTTTGCATAGTTTTTATAAATTTAAATTTACTCTATATGAAAGAATTAAATGTATTATACATACACCATTCAGAACAATTAGTGTTGAATTATTCCAAATATGTTTGAAATTTTTTATTTACATTTTCATCAAATATTCTAATGTTTGTGTCTTCACAATTTTCATACTTAATGGTGTGTGATTTTAGATATAATATATAATTAGAAACACTTAAAATCAAACAAGTTATCTCAATTACTTCCCAGCAGACTGAATATCTACAAATGTTTGTGTATATCTTATGTCACTTGTGTTTTGAATGTATCACAGTTATTGCTGGAAAATGTTTATTTTCTATGGACTTGACACATTATTTACTGTAGCAAGACAATTAAAACTTATTTAAAAATTTTTTTCATCTTCTACATTTAATATGTTTTTGTTATTTAATTTGAACCTAAGCTAATTCATTTTTCACTAGAAACACCTATTAATGATGTTGATCCATAATGTTCTTCTTAGGTGTTTTGGTCAACTGTCTTGTTATTGTTTTTGTTAATTTTTTCTTAATTGTGTCATCAGTTATGTTTGGAGGGTACTCTTTATGTTTTGAATTTCATTTTCATTGGTGTAAAGTCTCAGTGTTTTTATTACACATCCTTTAAATGTTTTTACTTTTACTTTTTTTTATCATGTGCCAATGACCAGTTTACATAACATCCATTGTGTCTTCTTTTGGTGAATTTTCAAACTTAATTTATTTCATTTTTTTTATGTTCATTTCCTTGTAAATTTTATGTTTGTATGTTGTTTGACAATATGGAAAAAACAACAACATCTTATCTCTTAAAGCCATATACAATAACATCAACATATCCCCACCATAAAAATTGTAGAAATAAAGCTGTATTAATGGCCTTTGTCTCTGTGCTGATGAGGAATAGTATTGCTAATTCTGGAGGTAATGGGATTCCTATTCCTAAACCTCTGTTTACATAAAGTTTTCTCAAAGAGGAACCGGTTAATGTAAAATTGGCAGATTTTTTAAAACAGTACATACAAATCTGTACTATTTAATTCATTTGTCTTTAGATATTAAACTAGGCCTTATTATTTGTTGAAGTTTTTGGTGGTTAAAATATTAAATATAGTTATGTACATTTACCTATTCACATTGATTCCTTAATGTTTTGTTTCACGTATCCATTACTTTATACAAGTATTTTTTTCAATGTTAACAGAATTTCAACTAAATACACTACTTGGTTAGAGATATATATATATATAATGGATGTGCATCATATTTTCTGACATGTGAATAAAATACTTTGTTTTGAAATTACAAGTGTCAAATAACCATTTCTTTTCATTTTTAAGCAGTATAATTCACTTTTATTAAATTGTCTTCAATCAGATAGTGTCGCCCAGTGGTTTCCAAACCATGCGTCACAGCATGTAGCTAGGGGTGTCACAAGTTTCACCAAATGAAAAATAATTAAAAATGTAGGAAAAAAATTGTATAAAACAATATTGCACATGGCAGCAGAGGTGTTGTGCAAATCAAGGTAAATAGGTTAAGTTGCTGTCAGTGAAAAAAAGCTTGGAAACCACTGGTGTAGCTATATTGAACTATTTCTGAAGCTTTGGTGGTTTTAACTTTTTGTAATTTGAAAATTTGATGGGTGAAATATTATGGCTAAATTAAAAACCTTTTATTTTAGCTACTCAAGTTAAATAAGCAGGTTTTTGTCTTCTTAATCCTTTTGAGACTGGTCACGGATGAAAGGCCATGTCATCTCATTTGTTGAGTCGCATTCAAAATTTTATTGAACTACTGTTTCTTGAACTTATGTCAATAAGCTTGGTATCAAACTTATAGATTATAATTCAAATTTTGGTATTATACATTACTCAATTTCTTAATTTAAAAGTAAATACTGATAAACATTGATTTTTGTGTGTCATGTTGTATGTTGAATGCAGTACTGGCTCAAATTAAATGTTTGTGGAGTCAAAATACTAAGTATATAGTTTCGTATGAATTAGAAACTCAAATTACAGATACTGACAAGCTAGAATATAAACTAAGAAGGTCTTATCTTTTCTATTGGCTAAGATATTACTCATGGAATAAATCAAAGACAGTGGCACCCCACCCACCTTTTTCCATTTTTGGAAACACTCCCTTATATACACTTACTTCTACATATGACATGAATAACCAATCAGAAGTTCAGAATGTCCCCCTAGTGGTTCTCTTAGCCTATCTAACATTCCTTCCACCATTTCTTTCTTTTGAACCAAGATTTCAATGAGGTAGGTTGTGTCTTTAGTCTCCTTAAAATTTTATATTTTTATAGACTAAAATACATCTTAGTTACTAGGCTTGATAAATAATAGTGGAATTCTGTGGTACTGATGTAGTAATTTATTATTTTTTAGTTATTCATTTGTATATATAAAACCTAAAAAAATTATTTTGTTTCATATCCTCCACATGCAAAATTTTTAAAGGCTTAGCAACCTTCATCAAGCAGCAATCGATTACAAAGGTTATAACTAGAAGAGATAATTGTTTGCTTTACTTCTTTAACTACTGTTCTTTGTTTTAAGAAAAATAAGTTTAAGAACTTATTTCAAAATAGCAATAATCTATATACATATATAATGTATAATAATTGCCCGTGCTCAAAGAGTTAATACAATATAAGATAAAACTATTAAAAGCTGTCCTCACTTGCACATCTTACAAGTTAAATGAATATAGTTACTTTTGTAATAATCAATCATTATCAGAGTATGGTATGCAAAAATTCTGAATCATGGAGATTGCCCATTGGCCAATCTGTTTTGGAAGTTTTCCTATTAAATTAAGTTTTTTTTTACAATAAATTCTGATATATTACTACATGATATTACTTTGTAATTGCAAATATTCTTTACTTTTGAGACAAAATGTGCAAAAAAGCTATATTCTAATATTGCAACATTTGGTTTTGGAATTTATAATGTGAAATAACCATAAGGGTAAGAGTCAATAGCTTTCCATCTAGCTTGACATCTAGAGAGTGTTAAACTCTTGCTCATTCAACTTGTATAAAATTTTATATGTATAAATAATAGCCATACCAGTCGTAATCTCGTGTGTGAGTTTATGGAAGCCAATTTCTCACGTTTGCTTATTTTGGATACACAATAAGCTTCTGATGAGGAACATCTAGTAATTGATTTTATTGTATACTTCAGAAGCAGAATGAGCAAACAAAGGCTGGAAGAACGAAGAGTTTGAAAGAAGATGAGAAGGGACAGTTTCGCTTGGATAGTGGTTTGGATGCTTTAGAAGAGATTGATGTTGAGGACTGCCACTTTAAGGAGGAGGAAAAAGGTACAATTGGTATGTATAGAAGTGTTAGACATATAGAGTAGTAACTTTGTATTACTTTCAGATCTAAAAACTTTAAAAATATTTGTTACCTTAATAGTTATATATCACCTTATAAAAACATTTGGGATGGTATGTAGGAATAATACAGTTGAAGTAGAAAAGGTGTATTTTTGTGTATCTTTATTACAAAACTCATAGTTTGGTGATACAAAATGGAGAACACTTTTATCTAATTCTTTATTGTTATAAGGCCAGTAGTCTACTTCCCACTATGTAGTCAGATAAGAGTACTGTTACGTCTCCGTTTGTTAATTGATTTTTCCGTAACTTCGTTCCAACGAAACTTTAACGACACAAGTCTTTATTTAATAAAACTGGTTTATTCTTTCCGAATATAACTCTGCGATACACTTAATCTCAATACTCGCGCTAAAACAACACTGTAACGAACGAACGTTAACTTCAACAATACCCTGTGACTGCAGTTCAATTACTCACTATCTACACACACATTACATTCCCCTCTTTTATATACCGGCCTACCCTATCTAGTAAATACTAGAGTATTCTCCAAGATACGGGATAGTTCTAGAAACAAGAGGGCGTGAGAATTGTCACGTGATCTTGATGACGCAACAGTACCATAAGGGTTTGTAGAAGGTGCTATTGATTAACTGTTTTCTTTTTTCCAGCAATTCAAAAGTAGGGACAGCTATGTGCAGGTAGCCCTCGTGTAGGTATGCACAAAAATTTTAAAAATTAATGATAAAAAATGAAATCTAACAAATAATAGAACATAACACAGGTTTAGACTCTGATGATCAAATTGGTTATAATACTGCACCTAATTTAAAATTAAGGATAGCTAGGAAAATTAACATTGAGTAGTTAGGTACCTGATGATAAGGTTAGCTTGTCAAAACATTGTACATTTGTAATAAAGTTTTTTTCACTATCCATTCAAGGTATCTAGACTATTTTCTAAATTATATGATGACAAGTATTATAAACACTTCACTGTGTTAGTACTAACTTTATAACAAGACTGTTTTGATAATGACATATTATTTATTCTTTATAAAATGTGTTTGAATGAAAACAGGGAATGGCTTATGAAGAGTGATATACAGGGTGTCCCAGAAGTCTGGACCCATAGGGAAAATAGACATTATATTCTTAAAGTTAAAAAAAAGCATTTCTAATGTCAGTTGTAGACATTTCAGGAAAGAAAATACTTTAATGGCACAGTATACCAAGAATTAATATGTGTATGGCTGTTAATGGCATGCAATTTGAATAATAAATAAATTAAGAATAAAATTTGTATTCATCCCTATGGATCCAGATTTCTGGGACACCCTGTATATAGGAAGTCTTATAGACAATGCTTAATCTGTTAGGTATTCAGTGTTCTGTTAATTTTCATGTGATTACTAAGTGCAAGTGGTATTGATGTTATATACATATATGAAGTTTTTACATAATGATCATGTAGGATCTCATGTAATTCACACATTCAAAAAGTTTATTATACCTACATAAGGTTTCTTTTTGTATTAGAAGCTCCAGTTAGAATTGTTATTAACAAGATAAACATTATAGAACATAGCAGTGTAAATTATTATTCTGAACTTTTGTGTCAGTATTTATCTTTTTGGGAACAAGATTTTCTGACAGTATAAATCCTGTTCATTGATATAGGGGGAAGAAAACTGCTGAAAGTAAATTTAAGAGGATATTATATGAGACAACAAAATAGAGTGAACAGATATTTTGTGATTTATCATTTCTTACAGGTAGGAATGAAACAACTCAACACTTTCAGAGGACAGATACACCAGTTCCTTGTATCAACATTTGGGAAAAAAGGAAAGAAAAACAAAATGCTCTCCAAAATATTATTCAATTCCGTGCTGATGATAGGAATGTAATGTTACAAAAGGCTACAGAATTGAGCAAAGTCCAGGCAATGGAGGATGAATGTCATAGATTGTAAGTGTTGTATTTCTTACCTGAATTATGGAAGAACAGAAATCATAATCTTTTGAATAGTTAAAACATTTTTACTTTACATATAAGAATGTTTTGCTAAGATAAGGTTGAATTTTACTCATTACTGAATTAGAACATTGTTATAGTAGCTAATTTGAAAACAAGTCATTTATTTAATGTTGATTCCTTTAGTCATTGATCTTCAACTGTTTTTAGCATTTTTTACAGAAAACAGCTGTTATATTAGACAGTATTCATCTCATTACTTAGTGTACAAATATTACACACGAATGATGGGCCGTTATAGGTAAGAATAGGGCTTACAGGAGTGTAATGTGCCAAAAACAGGCATTTCGTTTTCATGAGGGATTCTCATTACTGTTTCACATGTCATCAAAGCATAAGAAATATTGTTTGTTTAACCCTTTCACTGCAGGCAGGTTAAAAAGCACGTCATGACCTTTTAGAGTTATTTTCAAAATTTTATTAAATATTTGATGTTACTTATGTCAGTGAAATTGACATCAAAACTTAGTTTATGATTCAAATTTTAATATTATTTATGTTTCAATTTCTTAACTTAAAAGGAAATATCAAGAAAAAATGCTAAATATCAATTTTTGTGTTTCACATAACACCTGGTATTGTATTACTACTCAATTATATTTAATTATGCCTACCATACAATGTGTACAGTGGTTAGCAAATTAGAAACTAGAATTTGAGATATAGACAAGCTAGAATATAAAATAAGAACCTCCCACCTCTTTGATTTGCTGAGATGTCAATATATTTAGCCAATCTAGTTGAGTGGCTCCTCTCATTGCTGCATTCTTTTGAAACCTCTTGTCTAGTCCAACCTACTTCTTTTGACTAAGTGTTTACTACCAAGAGAAAGAGCAGCTTCCTGTGTACATAACTCTGACTGTCATTTGTAAATAGCTTGAAGGAGAAAGTCATAATTTTGCCAAAACTGTTCAAGTGCGATGACGAAGTTGTTGCTCTGAACAATACAAGATTTTTTAAAAGTTATATAGAGCTTGTTTAGTAAGCCAGATAAATAACTGGGATTTTGTGTGCACTATATAGTAAGCTGATACTTTTGTTTTCTAAAATGTGTATTTGAAGCCTACAAAAATTAATATCTCTTCCCCTTCCACTCGGAAGAATAAACGAGGCTTGTGGCAACACTTATCATGTATGCCGCATGAACACATAATCTCATAACACTGTAAGTACTTGAAATCTTTGTTTTTTATAGTGTTTTTTATTTATTTTTCTATGTTTTAATAAAAATAACTAAAATTTAACCATTTGTAAATAAACAGTACTTATTGATTGATGAATAAGTTTGCTGAAATGGAAATAGGATTTTATAACCATGCACACAAAGAATATCTTTGTATGCTTATACGGTATATAGCTAAATTCCAAACATCCTAGAAGGATGATCAGCACTCAAACACTTGCCATGTTTATTGGATTAGGTCTTAACCATATAATAAATGTTTTCACAGATTCAAAGTGCAATTTTGCTACTTTGAGGAATTCTTGTTGTAAATGCTATAGGATACATAATTTCCACATTATGTTCTTGGAGCAGGGGTTAAGTTGGTTTATTTCTTTGTACATGTGTTGTTGCTTTTGAAAGTATCATATTACAGTGTCACGTAAGCACTAATGACAAAAGAGGTGATTTGTTGCATTATTTTCAGTAAATTTCTTCTTCAGTTGTTGACAGTAAATTAAACACAGAAAATAAATTGGAAATGTTATAGTGATTCAACTTTCAAGAGAAGTACTTTGAAACTTTGTGACCAATAATAAAGGAAAAAGGGCACAGTTGCTCATTTTATTTCTGATTTTACAACTTTTCATTATACTTTGATGATTTGTCTACTGGCTGAAGAATCGTATATGTTGTTAGGGTAGAGATAATAACAGATAAAATATAGAGTTTTACTAAAAAAATTGTATATTAGGATGTTTTGGAGGCTACACAAATGAAATTTGAGATTTTTTGAGACAACAGTATTTATAATCTTAATTTAAAATTCACTTTACATATGGGCTAATCAAAATAAAGTTTGATCTATTCACAGACAAATCTTTAGTAAAAATACTTCATTAAAAAAACAGATTTTTTTTGTACAAATGACATATAATGTTCACAAAAGTCTGCCATATTTTGTGAAGATACATATACTGTATTAAAAGTTATATGGAAACTATAACGAGTTGAGAGTTAAAAGAACTTTGGGTAAAGATAGTATCAACAGAAAATAGATTTTGAAAATTAATGTTTGTTAGGTCTAAGTGCTGTTTACTGTTTGTCATATATTTCAGTTTAATTTGTGTTAATTTTTGTTTCAGTGAGAGACTGAAATTAGAGAGCAAAGAAGAATTCAATGATAGGGTGCAAAATAGTGATGCTGAAGATCAGTATGAAGTGAGTTTTTGTGAAAATAGACAGAGTTCAGCTGATTTAGGAAGTAATAAAACAAACTCTAGTATAGTCACATATAACAAAACTACATACTCTGATGGCACTAACATTTCTAGGATAGAAAAACAAAGAATTACTAAAGGGGTTGAGCTGGAACAACAGTTTTTTGTTCCTTCTGATGAATTTATGAATAGGCAAAATGCTAAACTTGACAAATGGAAGAACAATACCGTATCTCACCTTTCATGTGTTCTGAATGAAGAAGAAAATCAGTTGCATCCTTCATCCTATGAGATTTCTGAAGCAGATGATACTCAAAACACACTTAAAAAGTTTGATGTGTGCTCAGTTTCAAAGAATCCAAAAAATAGATACTCAACTCAATTAGACTTGAAAGAACAAAGTTCAAGAAATAGTATGGTAGAAGCTAAGATGATTTCTGGAAATGGGTTTTTACAGAAGGAACATATTGCATGTGCATCTGTTGAAGATAAAATTTCCTCAGATTTAATGGATGCTCAGAGAAATTCATTCTTATTAGATACCTCATTAGAACAAGCAGCTTCTCTTGGAATTGTACAGAAAGAAGCTGTACACCCATACAGAAAGCTACTTTCTAGTGACACTTGTTCTATTCATGATGCAAAAAAAGTGGAAAAATTTCACCAGAATATGCAGTTTCCAGTTGGTGTCAATATTGTTCAAGGAGAAGAAAAGTTCAAAGAGATGGGAAGTTTTAAAACCAACATTTCTGATATAGGTTTAGATGTACCAGTGACTAACCCATATTTTGAGAGTGGATCTTGTATACCATTTTCATCCCAATCAGGATGGGAAAATTTTAGCATGATGGGCCAACAGTATCTCCAGAACCAGCTGTTCTTGGAGATTGCTATGAGGTGTTTTCTCTTAAATCAGATTCCTTATGTACAAGCACATCAGGCAATGCCTCCCAATATTGTCTCACTCCATAACTTGTTCCCACAGGTATTGAATAATCAAGAGGTGGGAAACCAGTGGGTTAAAGGAAACTCCCATACTTCATTATTAAGTCCATACCAGTCAAATGATATTCCACCTACTGATACCTCTGTTGTTAAACCAAAAGTGCAACCAGTTGTTGAGCATTTGCATCAGATACCTGATGATGATAAGATGTTTAATGCTTCTTCATCACCACCTGGGTTTGGAAAGAATATGGGTGTTTTAGTAAATAAAATACACTTCTCTAGAGGTACAGTGGAGAGTGAAATGCAAAACAAAACTTCAGAAGCAATTTTATCTGAACAGCGTAGAAAAAGTAATTTTAATTTAGAACAGATTAATTCACAAACTCAAGAGGAAATTATGAAAGAAGATATTTTTCACAATTCTAAAAATTCTAATTTTCCATCACAACCAGCTTTTGCTAATGCACTCGGACAATTCAAAGGACGTGGGAGAGCAAGATTATCAAAGAATGTAGAAATTAAGCAAAAATTGAGAAATCCTGGATCTGATAGTTTCAATTTGTCTTCTCATGCTTTCTCGTCCTGTAATAGATTAATTACAGAAGAAAATATTTCAGCCTTTAACCTGGAGAAGCAAGATCGATCTTTGATAGATAGAAAAGCTAATTGTCCACTGCCTCAAGGTAATGTTTCGAAGAAAGAAACTCGAGCAGCAAGAGTTCCTGAAATACAGGTATGAAAAATATTTAGCAATACACTATGTTATGAATGTATGCTTAACTAATCTGCACACTGGTGATTAGCTTAAAATCTTCTAGATTAGTGATGATGGAATCTGTGTTTTTCTGAAATTAAAATTTATTATTTCTTGTGTTTTATGTCTTTTATAATCAGAAAAATGACAACAAACACTACAAAACTAGATATTTTAATTATAGTTTTTCTACCAAGAGCTCAAGACCTATTGATTAGGATGCTCGTGTCACAATCTGCAGGTCTTGGGCTTGAATCCTCCATCACTGGACATCATGCCCTTTCAGCTGTAGGGGGCATTATAATGAGTCAGTCAATCCTACTATTTGTTGGTAAAAAAGTAGCCCAAGAGTTGGTGGTGTTAACTAGCTGCTTTCCCTCTAGTCTGTCACAGCTAAATTAGGGATGGTTAGCACAGATAGCCTTAGAGCAGCTTTGTGTGAAATTCAAAACAAACCAAACATTTCTAACAAAGTAAGAATTTGCAATTCATTAACAATTAATGTGGGAGGGAAATCTTTTCATGTGTATATGTAATCATGATTCACCTCAAATTAGTTGAATAAAAGAAAGCTATAAATAGATACAAAGTCTGATTTGACACTACATATTGTAAATCTACTTTTATTCTCCAATATTTTATTCCAACCATTAACATTGTGGTATAGAAAATGATCTGTTAATAACAGTAGATTTGTTCAGGAAATAATGAGAGTAATCTGTGTTTGATAAATTGACTGAATTTTTCTGTTGTGTGTAAAATAATGAGACTGAAAGTTTAACATAATGAGTACAATCATTATTATGAAACAAAAAAAATGCAGCATATGTATTTGCAGATGCAAAAAACAGATGTTGCTGCCACTGGATTGTAATTAGTTCCACAGTTTTCTTTAAACTAAAAATGTTGATCTTAAAGTACATGTTGAACTCTAGGTACAAAACTGAACCAAGAAAGCCTGCCTGAATTGAACAGGTAAACTTGGTTTGTTTGTACAGTCCGCAGTATCACCTCATGATCTATGTTCTCTCACAGCAATGGTTGGCTGTTACATTTAGACAATGTCAACTTGGCCAGCAAACAATATTATAGCTGCCAATCATTTCAACCCAGATACTGTATGCTACAACAATATTCTTTTGGGCAGAATAAACATTATCTACTATAGAGAACAAAGAAATGAAGCAGCTTAAACAAGGTGATTCCATTAAATTTTTGGAACATGTGCTATTGCTAAAACTGGATCAAAACTAAATAAATGAAACATTTTAAAATTCCTGTATGACTGAAGAAGCTTCTCTAAGTTGTTCCATGGACTGTAGATCTTTATTATTTTTATTCTTTTTACACATTTATTTTTGCATTGAAGCACATTTTTAAGAACAACTGTTCATTAAATTGAACACTTTTTCTTTAGATCAGGGTTCAATTTTTGGCTTGAGTTATGCAATTAATATGAAAAAACCTGAATTCTCTTTACACTGTTTTCACACAAAAACCTTGTCCTACTAACCATGGATGCTTTTATTGTATTTTAAATAAACCTGAAATGAGGGAAATTCCTTTGAGATTCATTAGTTTTCTTATAGGGAAGTTATAGCACTAGCAAATCAGGTTTTTAGTTTAAACTTTTATTGTTTTGTCTTTAATTAAAGCTTGATTTTCATTTGAAAATCTTTTAATAAGTTATAAGTATTTACTTGCTTAGAATGTGTTTTAAATGTTTTGTTGTAATCATTACTGTGTTATTACTTGAGTTATTTCATAAATATTTAAATTAGCATAATATTAAAATGTTCAACAGAATCAGACATATTTGATATTTACTTTCTTTGGTTGATGTAGCAGCAACTTGTAGAAGCAGTTCCAGCACCACCAAGAAACCCTCGGCTTTTAGTAAGATGGCAAAAAGAACTACAACTTAATGCCAGAGCTTTAGCATCACAAAAATACAGATGTTATCAAGAAAACATCCAAAATTTCTAATTAGAAATTATGACCATTTTCATTATTAGCTTTATAAATAATGGCCAGAAGAAGTCATTGATAATTTTTTATCTTGTTTTTTAATTCTCATTTCTTTTATTTTGAGAGATACTCAGATATTTTTGATTAAAAATCATGGTTTATTTTTTCCTGTATTGTTTTTCATTTCATGGTAGAAATGTGTTGGGTGTTTCAAAAGTCACATACAGTCATTTGGTGTGTTGGAATAACATTATGGTCACACTTGGAACAAAAACAATTCTCAAAAATCATAATCAAACAGTTTTAAACAAATCATTTCAATGTTTATATAGTCTTCTGCATGATCAAATTGGTCTTCACACAGACTTTCACAACATTGTGTCCTTGGATGTCTAAATACAGCCATCTCAATAGTAGAAGTGACTTTTTAAACACTCAGTATTTTAGATTAACTAGCAATCCACTTGTGATTTTTTTACTGGGTATTTGTACATTTTTTTGTTGTTTTTATAAATCTCTTAATCATACCCACCTGCATGAAGTCATAGATTTATCATTGTATGTATCACTGTCACATAAAATAATACTGGTTTTACAGTATCAGTGTGTAAGACAATAGTTTCACTGTATGGTAATGTTTTGTACAGTTTTTTAAATGAAGATAGCAAACAGCTGTTTATGTTTAATTAGATATTATTATTAATGAGTCTATCTCTAAACAAAGTTCATATTATTTTTATATAATAAATGTCAGAAATTTACTTCAGTATGTTGTTTAAAAGTTATTTTTTTGACACATTTATTCAGATCTAATGTGTTTCACAATTTATCATAAGATTATGAAAAACATGTTTCCCTGTAAAGATAGGTTTACCTCTTTTTGAACAGCATTAACATAGTCTTAAGTTTATCTTAATAACATTTTCATTCCTTTTATCATAAGGTGAAGATTTCTTTGCTTCCAGACTTTCCAAAACAAGAAAGTTTTGCTATAAAATATTTGGACCACTTTGTGATATATAAAGGTACACTATAGGTCAAAAGTTTGAAAGCAAAAAATGATGTACAGAGGGACTGGGCTGAATATATTGTTATTTTTCATCACTAATTCCTGGACTACTAGAGTATTTGTCTTCCTGAACAAACAACTGTCTTTTTAAAAAAAGGTATTGGAGACATTGATGAAGAAGTTGTTTTATAAGTTTACTGGCAGCTCAGTGTGTACAACTGTGAGGATGTTTATTGCCTGATATGGGGTAAAAGGTTGACACATTTACCTGTTTGTATATGCAAAACGGTAAGAATGTAGAAGAATGAACAATATTGTACTCACCCCCATGTATATCAGTTGATGCTTCCAAACTTTTGACCTGCAGTTTATTTGTTGTAAGAACTAAACATGGCAGTATATGCAAATATTGTGATACTTTATGTTGATATGGTAAAGATATTCATGTGATTAGTTACATTGTAGTGATGTACTAACAGAATGTGAAAGGATGTCAATTTATTATATTTAATGCAGGTGATAGGTAAAGTTCTTATAGGCCTCATCTTCTCTAGTGTATGATTGTGAAAATTGCGTTCTGTGCACAAACCAAAAAAATGAGTTATTAGTGTAATTACTGTAATATAACCTAAGTTTATGTTTTTGTATATTCAGTCCTTTTTATTTTTTGTCTTTGAAAACTAATTGCACACTTTAAATAATACATTAATTTCAGATCCCAGTTTTGGTTTTTTGCTAGTACTAAAGTGCCAATTATGAATGGATACAAAACAACAAAGAAGGAGTGAAGATGGTTAAACATATAGATTAATGTGTCTTATAATGAGAAGAATAGTCTGGGTTGATTAAGTACATAGTTTAAGGTATAATAATTGATTGTTTATAAGATAGTTACTACTATGTTACTTGGCTTCAAACAATTTTTATGTTCTGCTAGATGAGAAGTTTACCAGCTTCTTTCTTTACAACGTTGTATTTGAAGTAGAAAATTACTCCAAAACAGCTGTAAATGTTATTTTTTTTACAAGACTTGTATAAAAACCATTTAAATTGAAATAACTCAATTGTTTAAGCACAGTTATAAATGTCTTGGTCCATACCATCCTTGTTTCTTCTAACATAGCACTTAGATCCATCTTGAGGTATGAATGCATAATATAAGCCAACTGAGTTTTGTTAAAAATTCCTGCTACCTTATAATAGAAGTAAGGATTCTCAAAGTTTCTCCATTGAACTGTTATGCAGGATTTGTGTATTATATATTGTTATTAAGATTGCTCAATCTGGAGACATTTGTTGGGGACTTTATTTTATTGTTTGGCTTATTAGATTGATTAATTTGATATCAAACTTTTACTTGTATAGAACATTAAAATGCACACTGGTCATGAAAGGTTTAAACCTTGAATAATTTAACAAATTTATATTATGTTATTTTGTCAGTGGTCTTCTGATATTTATAATGTTATGGTATCCAATGGAAATTTAAAAAGATATATTATTACGAGGAGATAAAAAATATAGATTTGATCAACTTATTGAAAACTTAGATATCATTTATTGGATTTTTTGTATTCAACAAACTGTTGGGTAGTTTTCAAAACAACATTGTTATGGGAGAAGTATTAGAGACAGCGTTTAAGAAGACCTTCAATACTTGCCTTTAGGAAGATCCTATAAAAGAGATTTAAGCTTTCAATAGGATTTTGCATTACATATTTTTTGTCTCCTCATCACTAATGAACACAATATAATGCTGTTATTAAGTAACAGATTACCATGGTTTGCCTGAATGCATGGCCATTGGCCAAGTTTACTTTATATTGTATTAGGTTGTCATTATGTGTTTTCTTCTAAAACTTTAGCTTGTTTGTTAAACATTTTCTTTATGGAAACAGAAATATTATCCTAATAACAATGATTTATAGCAAACTGTCTTAAATATACAAAGTTGTATATAGCAAGAGACAGTTAAATAAAAACATTTAATATTTTGGTCTGTATTAGTTCAATTTATTGATTACTTTCCCTATGAAAGGTTCTTTCTCCAATGGGTATAATTCAACTAGGCCAAAGCTATGTTAACTTTTGTTTTAGTTTCATTTTTTCATTACCAAAGATTTTACAACAGATGAACAGTTCCAATTTAGTTATGTTCATTGACTCAGTACTTTTGACAGTATGATTATTTTGTAAACTACTGTGTTATTAATGTGTGATTTTATTTGAAGGTTAAAAAAGCTAATAGTAAATATGATCTATTAGATTGTAACACCCATAAAGTGCTTACTTGTATTAAGTAACTATTTTGAACTCAAAATGAAGCAGGATTTTTGTTTGTTTGTTACTAAACTACTTTTTTGCATATAAACCTGATCAATGAAGAAGAAAATTCAATATATTTTCTTCCAGATACACTCAGTCTATACAAATGAGCTTTTCATGAATATTGTTAATTCATTCAATCAAAGATATAATTTATAATGAAGAAGTTTATCTTGTAAATAAAGACATTTTTTCATGTGTATGGATATCAGATGTTGCAAGAAATATGAGGACCCACGTACACTTACCACCTCTGTGCAGTTTGTAGCAGTCACTCTGAACAGAACTACTTTATGTATACGTTTATACGGAATTCAAAGTCTTAAGTCTTTGGAGTATTGTGTAAAAGGTTTTAGGAAGACAAATCATTAGCTAAGTAAGATAGAAAATTTCTTTTTGTTTGGATTTTTCACTGTGTCAGTTACCTTTGCTGACGTAGTGAGGCATCATTTTGAAACTTGTTTGTTTATAGTTGAATTTATTATACAAACTTTGTTGTTTTAGGATGGGAAATTTTGCATCGAATTTACTTAGATAGTCATAATTAAGCATCATATCTACAAGCTCTATATTACAGCTTTGCTAAGATTAAATTGTGTAGTGTTTGTTTGATTCAAACATGACGTTTCGAGTTCAATGTAAATCCATTCGAAAAACAACAAAAAAAAAAACAAAGCAGTTCTGAAAACCCCGAACCACCCCAGGTTATTAGCCTCAAAATTTACACAATATTACTTGAGGTGGTACAGGATAAAATAATGGTGATGCATGAAAGGATGGGTTTGAGATAAGCATGGCCGGTAATAACGTACTCAAAATTCTTCGCATTAATTTCTTGGCACACATAGTGAATAAAGTACACAGCTCGAAATTTTAATTTGCACTAATTAAATGCAATGAGCAAGTAAGTAGTTAATATTTATATAATTTTAGAAGAATTAAAATAGTCTGATTTTTTTATCGACAATGAGCAAATAAGTAGTTAATATATCAGGGGTGTATAATATATATATATAATTTTAAAAGAATCTTTTTACATCAACTCCTGTGATAGAAGTTATTACTTTTTGTCTTTCTGCTACTTCATTTATGTAGAATCGTATTGAACCCTTGAGGTTTCCACAAGTGCACCTATCATCATGGGAGCAAAGGCTTTTGGTAAAAGTCCTGGCGTTTTCAACTTGTTCGCCTGTATTGTTTCCTTTTGGTTTAATGTGATTTACCAACCCCTATTGATCTTATCTGATTTTAACTATTACAATCAATTTCACACTCGTGTGATAGACAACTTGTTTCTGCTATAGTAAAATAAAACAATGTATATCTTATATAAAACTGTAAAACTTAATTTGATGAAGCCTGATAGTTAGAGGCTCGACTCGTAATCTGCAGATCACGAGTTTGAATCACTGTCACAGAAAATGCTCGCCCTTTCAGCAGTGGGGGTGTTTAATGTAACGACCAATACCACTATTCATTGATAAAAGAATAGCCCAAGAGTTAGCAATGGGTGGTGTTTGTTAGCTGCCCTCTCTGTTAAGTTAGAGACGGCTAATGCCTTTCGTCCTCGAGTAGCTTTGCGCAGAATCCAAATCAAACCAAACTTAATAGTTTCTCAAATGGTGTCCAGAGCATACTACTATGTTAAAATAGTAAACTCCTGCTATTTCGTCCATTTTGTTTGTAGTTAAGCACAAAGCTATACAAAGGGCTATCTTTGCTCTCTCCACCACGGGTATCGAAACCCGGTTTCTAGCATTCTAAGTCCGCAGACATACCGCTGGGCCACTGGGGGCACGTCTATTTTGAAAGATGGTGTAATTTCAAGAATTTTAAGTTATATTAAGGAGAACAATATTAAACTTGTACTCTTGTGTCTTGTAAAGGAGAATTTAGTGAAAGCGTTTAGTGAGCCATAAACGTAATACATTCTTCGTGTTGTTTAAAAACATAGAAAGTTTAAAAAATCATTTAGTAATTTACGTGGTATTAAATATAACGTTTTTCGTTATAACTAAGGGAGCTGCTTGATCAACAATAATATTGTAATTCTGATTTATCTGTAAGATTAGGAGGACATTAGCTCATTAAAAAGAATGTTGGTACGTATTATTACTAATTGTTAGATTATTTCTTTTGTCATGAGAAGGATATCAGGTAGGAAAATAATTCTCATTATTACGAAACTCCCTAAAACGAGGAGTTAAAAAACCCTTTTTTTTCTGGCTACTTTTTTGGTATCTCATTAACAACTTTCGTCAGCTCACAAAGATTCGCCTTCATGGTTTCAAGTTTTGTCGTAGCTAATCTTTGATACATCCAAAGATAACTCAAATACCTTGGCATTCAGTTAACATTTTAAATTATTGAATCTGAAAGATTCATTTGACATTTTTTAATGGGCTTCCGTATTTTATGTCCAATTACCTGATTTGTACGAAATAGAGAGATGGATTATCTCCTCATTTGCATACCTTACGGCACGTTCAAACGAAGTTTCATGAAATATGCATAAGTTCATTTATGTTAATAGGCGGACTATACACTCAATAATACACTATATTAATGAATCGTATATGTCCACTCAACAGCACGAACAGATGTGTTTGTGACAGTTTAGTTTACATAACCATTTTCCTATCACCAACTTGTTTTCCTGATTTTTACAATTAAAACATCCACTTGTTTTTCGTAAGCTACGGACAAGTTTTTAAACTGATATTGAAGAAAGAAATGAGTGTTTTGTTGTTGTTGTTGTTCTCTGCCAGAAATATTTAGAACCTCGTTTAATGTTAACAGCACTACAAACAGTAACTGAAAGGAAACTTGTTTACGTGAACAATATTATATAAAAACTATCTTTTGTGGCAACAAACACGTTTTAAAAGTAAAAATAACTGAGTAAAATAGCAAACGTTTCATCAAGTTTACTTGCCACATCAAATGATACTGTACAAGGCTGTGAGGAAGATGCTGCAGCTTTACAAAATGATTTAGTGAATTGGGCGAATAAATGGCAGGTGGGTTTTAATTATAATAAATGCAAGATAATGCATGTGGGATGTCATAAATTGAATTATAAGTATAATTTGGATGGGAATAACCTTAACAGTGTAATGAAAGAAAGGGATCTTGTTTCTTTTTTAATGTACAGACGTATTTAATACAAGTCTAAAGAGGTTATAATTTCATTGTATAGGTCACTAGTCAGACCACATTTGAAATATTGTGTTCAGTTTTAGGCTCCTTACCTTAGGAAGAACATTGAATTGTTGGAAAGAGTTCAGAGGAGGGCTATTAGAATGGTGTTGGGGTTGTCATACGAGGAGAGGCTGAAATCTCTCAAATTTTCTTCTCTTGAAAAAAGAAGAGTTAGGGAGAATCTGTTGGGGTGTTTAAAATTGTAAAAGGAATTGATGGTGCTGATGCATAAAATTTTTCATATTTAACGGTGAGAATAGTAGGGCACAAATATCAATTTTGGCGGGGGTAAGAGTCATCTTTAGCTTAGACAGTTATATTTTTCTAATAGGGTGGTTGGCCTTTGGAACGGGTTACCTTCAGATGTTGTGGAGGCAGTAAATTTAACAGATTAAGAGAAGCTTGATAGCTATATGTATGATAAGGGCTGGCTTTGAGATTTTTTAAAAAAAAAGAGTTTTAGTTTAAAGGATGGGGCAGTCTAAATGGACCAATAGGTCCCTAAACATTATGTTATGTAAGTGATGAAACTTGTGCAAATCTATAATAACATCAAATGAGGAGTATCACAGTACTTTAATAGTGTCAGCTTGTATTTCAATTAACTAACCTAGGCGTTTGTCTATTATGCGTTTATTAAAACTTATTATGAGGAGCGATTTTACATTTAGAGCTTATCAAACTTTAAGCTAAATTAACTAGTTTGTGTCCTTTTTATTTATGTTCTAATTTGTAACATGGCTGCCATCTATGTTCCAATAAAGAAGTACTGATTTTTATTTCATTCTTCTTGTAAACTTTTATAGCATACATTTGAGGATATTCTTTGAGAATATTGACCTTGCGACTACCATGGAACTTGGAACACTTGGTCGGGTTTTAGGTCTATTTTGAGACCTGGGAGGGTCATATGCCTCTTCCTTTCTCCTTAACGTTATATTCATGTATCATATTATTCCAATTTAAGGAAAATGCTTTGCGGATTACGTGTTAGGAGCAGGTTACTCACTCTACACGAATAATCGCACTGAACCTTTCATTCCTTTGTACTCCTATATTCATAGACCTAATACTTGTAGTATTTAGTGCTTCACTGCGATATAGCTGAATACATTCCACACTTATAGCTCTACTTGATCCCTCAAGTCCCTGACCTTGCCGTTTTGCACATTTACAGCATAATATTCCAGTTAGGTTGAAAATACCAAAACCAGAAGTAAACTCGAGCATGCTAGTATTGTGAATGATATTCAACTTTAAAAGATAGTGAAGAAAAAAACACCATTAAGTGGAACAAAATTTCAGAAGACTTGATATTAAAGAAACTAGTTTTGACAAACTCGTGCGTCTTCTTTTCAGAAGACAACGTGAGATTGAAAAGGACGCACGAACGTGTTCAAACTATGTAGAATAGTCGGCAAATGCTTGTTGTAGAGGACGGCGTTTCGAAAGTCTTCCGCCTTTCTTCTGCAGGTTAGTGTCTATAAGGTGTTGTCGGATTGTGAAGAGCATGTTATGATCGCGTGGTTTCTCCCTGTTCCTGATTGGAGGAGAGATTTCTTATAGATTCAACCAATTATAGCCACAGGTTACTCACCTCTAATCCGGAAACTCTGTTTAGTGAAAGTTTAATTGTGTTAATATATATATATAATGATGTTTTAATATTTTTTGTCTTCCAACTTTTTTAGTTTTTTTTTTTTTTACTTTTTAACTTTTTTAGGTAAAGAACACCATGTCACACTTATTGCTTAAACTAAGAATTCGCTTAACAGTAATTTGGCAAATATCTCCTTCCCCACCACACTATGGGGTGGAGAAGCAAAAAACGACCAGTTCCAATCCAGACCCGGAACCAAAATTTCAATCTGCTGAGGGCTCACCATCTCCGGTTCC